GTTTGTACTTGTGTAGTCCGCTATTGCAAAAATGTAACAGGCTCCATGCCACCATAAAAGTATTTCTATTTCCTTGGTGATCAATCTGCATCACCACTGACGATTTGTAATCCAATACTTCATTCAGAGGTTCCTCTTTTGTCAGGATGTTCATGCTTTTACACTGTTTTATCAAAAACTGAAGATAGGGGTAACCTAGTTACCATTTATGAGAGAGTAATTCCTCGTTATTACTATGGTAACTACCATGGGCAAGATCTTCATCTGGAAAGACATGTGATGCAATAAGCTGAATTGTACCACTTCCTTGCCTCTTTGGAAGATGAGGTACTTCTCATTTTAATATCATCTTTTGTGTGAACCATGAGATCTATCTCATGGAGACCTCACTTGCCATATTTCAAAGAGCTTTATATCTCTGGATAGAGAAACAATTTTGAATACAGCTGCATGAACTGGCATCAGTAACCCAATTTGAGTTCATGAGCCTTAGACTATACTTGCATAACTCCTATTCAAAGATCCCAGCTCTCTAAAGATGCTGGAAATATAGAGACTAGAGATGTATGAACCACCCCAAATCTTCTCCATGTCAGTATGGGATGCACAGAACTATGTCCTGCCCATCAAATATTCTGAGAACTTAAAAAAAAATCAAGTCATCTACAATTACTGGAGATTAGCCATTTTTACAGACACACTCACTGTTGTGGCAAGACAAATTCTCAGTTGAAGATTAGAAGGTTCTGTGAATTGCAGATCTAACCTAGCTCTGGCAGATTCCACCATGGTGATTCATGATCCTTCACTTGAAAAGCAATCCTCAGTGGTTGTCTTTTACATTTCTACTGGGGATGTAACCTAAGTGCACCAGATGAGTATACAAGGTAGACATACCCTGATCTCCGCTGTTTAATTGGCCAGGTCATGGAAATATTGCCATCCCGTTTAGCCTCCAAAGCACCAAAATAGTTGATATGTCTGACAGGAGAGTGGACAAACGTGGGGGAAGCCAAGATGTCATACATGTGGACTGCATTCCCCAGCTTAAGCAGAACAATACTGCTAGGTGTCACCTTTCTCACAAACACTCAACCACGGAGTCTGACTCTTTATTTACTTTCTCTTTTCTCGCTTTTGTATGGACCTCCACTTTGTTCTGTGGGCCTTATTGTTCTCATCTCTTTCCTCTGGAACCAATGTAAATGATACGTAGGATAAGCTAAGATAGGAAGTCACAACCCCCCCCCCGCTTTTTTTTTTCAAAATGTGGACGATTCTGTAGATGGCGCCCAGTTTGTATGTCTCGAGTGAACCAGAGGTTAATATACAGATTGATAATTAGGAGATCTCATCAGTAGTCAAATCTGTATCTGCAGGGGGGGAAATGTGGGCAAGCATCAGAATTGGTGGTTTGGCCCCAGCCACAGTAGAAAGCCGCCTACTATTATTATTATTATTATTATTATTATTATTATTATTATTCCATTTATATCGTGCCCTTCTGCCTATAGGCACATATAATGTCTAAGGCCCCAAGTCATGCTAAACTAACATCCTAGCCAGGTTCTTCAGTTGCTTTTTTAAAGCATTTCTCTCATTTTCTTTCCAGACCCAAAAAGCCAACCGTGAGGGGAATATGGCAGCTGCTCGGAGACATTCAAAGACGGCTGTCATCCTGGCTCACACATCACTTGGAATTGGCGTTCCGCTCATCATTCTTTATTTAATTTTTATCATGAAATGAAAGGACAGGAAGGCCTGGCGCGATATGGTTCATGGGGTCACGAAGAGTTGGACACAACTTAACGACTAAACAACAACCACAACATGAAATGAACTCAAATTAGACCAAGTCATTATGCAATGTTCATATCTATACATGATGATGCTGAAGTCAGAGGAAGCCTGATTCAACATCTTGCTCTTTGATCCATTGTATAAAGAGAACATGACGGTCATGCATATTATTCAATTTCTATATACCTGGGCTTCATCGGAAATAACAATAAGTTGGCAAGGATAGCATTTTAGGCAAATAAGGTGATCTGAAAGTTCTGTCTAGTGATAAATATGCAATGGCCCATCAAGATCCAATTTAAAAAAAAATGTGATGCAGCTCTGAAATACAACAACCAGAATCTACATAACAGAATTACAACAGAGTACCAACAGGTGGATGGTTGAATAGGACCTATAAATTTTAGTTTATTTTTTTAATAGTAATTTTATTAAAAATTACAATCACAAATATAAAAACTAATATAAACTTTAAAAAAGAAAAATAGAAAGAAAAAAAGGAAAGAAGAATATAGTAAAGAAAAAGAAAATAAATATATAAAGAAATAACTTCCTCTTCATCACAAGTATAAACAATTTTAGTAACTTATCACTTTCTCTTAAAATACAACAAATGATCTCGTATAAACAATTTTAGTAACTTATCACTTTCTCTTAAAATACAACAAATGATCTCGTATAAACAATTTTAGTAACTTATCACTTTCTCTTAAAATACAACAAATGATCTCTTCTTCCCATATCTTGTCTCTTATCTATAAACAAATCTTTAAAAGCTTGTTGTTTCAATCCTGATTAGCAAAAGCCCATTAAGGGTTACCAGAGATAACAACATGCCTATTTTAATCTTGATCAAGTAAACCAACTTCATATTCCTTCCTTTTACTTTTAACAATTTTGATCCTTCAAATAATGTTCTAGAACTTGATTTCTTTTCATTTTTTTCTTTGTCTCTTCTCACAAAATTCTTCAAAACTTTAACAAGCCTCTTTTGTAAATCCAATATAGGAAAATTATCCAAGTCATTCTCTTGCTGTGTTATCTGTATATCCCTTTTAATTATTAAGTCATCAGCCACTTTTTTTTTTTTTTGGTATGTCCATATCATTCTTGTAGCCTCTCATTTTTAAATCCACTGTCAGATCAGTCTCAATCTTGTCAGGAAAAACTTGTTCCTCTTCCATAACATCTTTTAAATACACTCTATCTATAGAGGCAGACACTCTTAAAATTAACTTCTGGATCCATTGTTCAAAAATATCCTTCAATATCTCCGTTAAAATATTTTACCTTATTTTCTATTAGTAAGCCAAATTTAAGGCTTCTTCCCCTTTAACTGTAATATTTAGTTCCTTCTGGTTCCCTCTAATGTCCAACCTTCAAAATCCCATCCTATCTTTTTTTTTTTTTAAGAATTCAAAACAACAGCATTTTCCCACTGGAAGGATTCTTATATTAATTTCAAAATCCTATTTCAAATCCATCTGGACCCTTAATCCATTTGTAACTTTCCAAAATCAACACCCTAATCACCCTTTTGCTATTCCAAAAAAAGAACTTTTTTAAAGTCCTTAAACTTGTATTTAAAACTTCTTTCACTAAGGATTGAAGGAAACTCA